TAGCTCAAGTTTTTCACATTCCTTCTCAGAAACTATTGGAATGATCAAGGAATCATTGGCTACCAAACCCAACGATTTACTGACAAGCAAAACTACCAGGCTATTTGTGGGAACAGGGCAATACTACGAGCACAAGACCAACGAACGAGTTGTTATACTCTCTTTAGGAGACGATGAAAACTTGAGGCCACCAGTTATGCTGCACGATACTGCTGTACAGCGCGACGAGGTGGAGAAATTGGAACAAGAACTGAGTTCCTTGTCATCAGTGGGATCAGTTCATTCTGGCGAGTTAGACAGTGTACAGGACGCGCCTTGGAAATTCGGATTTGTTCTTAAACCCTCCTTTTCGATCTTCTCGGTATCTGGATTTTGCTGCCAACTTCAGCAATCAAGTTCAGAAGGAATGTACTTCAGAATCTTTGATGAACATTTACATGAAGATATCCCTCTTTCAGACATTGAACACATCCAAGTCTCCCTTTCTCCAGAACCATGGGAAGAGCGGAAACTGCAACTCAAAATGAAAAATGGAGATGTTGTTAGTGTTGTTGAAGACCGCGAAGAGAACGTCCCCAGCAAAGATGGCTTGGCTTCACTGATGCTCTCCACTGAATGGATGGTAAAGGCTGCTGGTCACATGTGTATAACAGCAAGACAGTTTGGAGACACCAAAGTGTCACTAAAACTTCCACCTGTTCTTAGAGCTGATGTCAACCCATGGGTGGCAATGAGAAACAGGATATGGGCTGAAAAAAGCAATGAAAGTTGAGAATGGGAGAGGTGGGTGTTGAAAATATACAATGTACATTATACTCAGGTAGTGTCTAGCAACTGCATGATACATGTACTGTACATGTACACCCTGCCAGTGCAGTAAATATGCAGATGTGTCCACGATGAAAGGGGCTGGAGCATTCTGATTGGTTCCCTGCAAAACATGGACCGCTAAGATGAACCACTCACAAACTACAGGGTTGTTCAAAGCATGGATAGCGCTATCCACCGGATAAATCACTATCCAACAGATAGCTTAGTTTGTTTTGTTAACACTGATCCACTGGATAGCGATTTATCCAGTGGATAGCATTATCCACCCTTTGAACAACTGGGCCCTGTATGGTAATTTCGCCCAATTCTTTTTATGAAACATTGAAAAAAAGAAAAGTGTTTTCTATTTTAAGTAGGAACATTTCCCCTTCATGTCTGGCAGACAATATTAAAAGTGGCCTGAAAAATGCAAGTACAGTGGAACCCGGTTAATACGGACACCAAAGGGACATGAAAAAGTGTCCTTATTATCCCGTTGTCCGTATTAAGCGGGCTGATATAGGAGAAATATGTATCGTCGGGACAAACAAAACTGTACGTAATAAGCGGGTGTCCGTATTAAAAAGTGTCCGTAAAGCGGGGTTCCACTGTATTTGGTTTACATGTAACTTTGGTGTGCGCATTTGCAGAGAATGGGTGCATTAATTTATCAACCAATGTTTTAAAATGCCATATGATTATAATAAAAACTATATACAAAATGTACATTTGTACAGGGCAGGGATGTAGATTGAAGACAATAGCCAGGAAAAATACCTGTTACCCAGTCTGCAGAGTATGGCAGAACTTGACGAGATCTCATAAGATCTCATACATGTACAGTGTAGTAATAACTTTTTCTCATCAGACAATATGGGAAGCTTCAAAAATGAAGATCACCAAATTACAATGTACATGTACTAGTTACCAGTACATAAAAGTTGAAGATAATTAGTCATTTTGCCATAAGTGATAACTACAATATTTGAAGGGGCCTTTCAGAGAAGCTGTATGGTTGCCATATCATAGTAATGGCTATGATGTCACAAATGGGACAATTGTATGATATTATTTTGTACATGGTCTGACACAAAAACTTTTAATGCACCATCATATTACACCCAGCCAGTGAGCCATTAGCCCAGTTGAGGGAAACATGGAAGGAAATTAGCATTAGATTTTTTGGTGCAATTCTTAAAGTCACTTGCCCAGATGGCGAGTACAGTCAAACCTCTGCTAAGCGGCCTCTGTTAAGCGGTCTCTGTTAAGCGGTCACCCTCTATAAAAGCGGTCGACATACATACATGTACATACATAAACTCTATTTAAACTTGAATTTACAGAGTAGCTCCTAGAGCTAATATCTTCGAGACTTCTCAAATTCCCAGAAATCGCTCCCCATACTTACTGTAAACTTGACCTCTATTAGTTGGATATTTCCCGAGGGTGACCGCTTAATAGCGTACTATCAAAATTAAGTTTCCAACCCTGCGGGAAAAACACTATCCCCAGGCTATCGGATCCAATTTTTGTCACACCCTGTATTGTTTTGGACTTTGTTTTCATGTACTGTACATGTATATTCCTTGTTCCACAGGACAGCAACCTTGACATCAGAGACATCTACTACAGCTGTACATGCAGTCCAGTGTACATGTAGGCCATGCTAGTATAATGATGTCACATCTTCTATACAAAAATTTGCTAGCAACTGTAGAGCTGTTGAGTGAGTAATCATTGCCAGTGATGATTTTATGTTTGTCTTGTTCGAGTTGGTCATGCTCAGCTGAAAAGTACTGATACCTACAAAACATTGCAATAATTGAGATGAGGGCTTTATCATTGTTCCGGACTGTTTCCCTTAGTCGTAAGCAACAAATACGAATCCCATTGACTGTGGTTTACATGTACATGTATTTTGCACTCATTTGTTTGACATTTGAATGGAAACTGATAGCAAAGTCTCCCTGTTAATTACCAGCTTCATAATCTACAATTATGTAGATTTTGTATCTCTGCCCCATTAGTCCTATCCAACAGTCTCTGTTCATTGAAGTAACAATCAGTTACTTATTCAGTGGTATTAGATCCAACTGGATCTTAAAAGTGTACAAAGTGTTTGGGTGAAAAAAATGTATCATGAATAGATGGAATATAAAGTTTTATGGTAGCATGACTATACTATAAGATTTTAAATAAAAATAAATAATCATTTTATTATAAATTACCTGTAATTGACAAATGCCAACTTTTTTTTACATTAATTTATATACATGGTATTCTGACATATATATACAGGGATGTAGATAATAGCCGGGAGCCGGTAAAAATACCCGGCTGTCACGCTGATTTTCCCGGCTGAAAAACCATGTACAGTCTTTAAAATGGATACCTCTTTCTCCTGAATGTTTTTAGCCAAATATTTTGTAACTTTTCTGACCGTTTGTACCTCTGTTATTGTCTTACCGTAAATAACACGACTGTAAACACGGCATTAGCACGCCATTTTGAACGACGATCGTGTGTTTGTTCATGGTTCATTGACCAGCGGTGTCTCTACTTCATGTATGCAAAATAATGTACGCCAATTCGCGTTAACGCTTTGCTTATTAACTGAATCGTGGTATTTATTCTTGTATGTATTGTAAGGAACATAAAAGACACATCACAAAGTTTTTCACAGCTTTATTAACAGAAAAACATTGATTCTTGCTTACTGAGAACAGTCCAAAATGGCAATGAATTAACCCCTGAAAATCGAGGAAAACGCATTTGCGAGAGTCTAGATTTCAAGATTTCAAGATTTCAAGATTTCAAACCCCCCTAGTAGGATGGTGCCTTTGGCACCATGGGCCTCCGGCCAAGTATTTCCGCCTATTAGCTATATAATCCCGCCTGTCAAAAAATGAATCTACATCCCTGATTATATACAATATTACTAGGAGTAACCATGGGCTAGGAAGTGCGGGCGGAATATCGGGTACTTGTTTTAGGAAACCACTGGGTAGCCATCGCGGCTTTGTTATTGGCTGCTATGTGTTACAGTAACTTCAAACTCCGTCCGATATACTTATATTTATTTTATGTGGCAAGCGAAAACTTTTCCTGTAATAATAAAATCTGAGCGATCAATTATTTATCGAACGTGTTTAATGATATACTTCCCAGCATGCGCACGCTCACTTTAAGGTTCTAGTTATGTAATCAAAATTATAGTCACGTTCCACTAAACTTTACTACAACATTATTTTGTTTATTCGCAATCCTCCAGACAGGCTTTCTTTCAGCTTTTGTTGTTTGTTTTACACAACGTACAAATATGAAAAGCAGTGAATTAAGTATACATGTTATTCGTTAAAACACTTCTTTGAAGTCTATAATTTTCGGTAGCATGCGAATGAGTCATCACCTCAACGAAAATTTACAAACACGTCATCACGATTTCTTGTCTGCAATAGGCACTACATCTTTTTTACGGGGACTCTAATAAAAAACATTGGCTTTGATTAAGGAAACCACTGAGTAGTCATTGTGGCTTTATTATTGGCTGCTATGTTTGAGTATTACTTCAAACTCTGATAAACGATAAACCTTTATGATAGACGTAAAATTGATTTCAGTTGAATACTGTAACGCTAAATAGCATAATAGCCGTAATCCATAACGATAACATATGTGGCCTTTGTGACGCCGCCGTCGTGATTTGGTGTAACTTTCCCGGCGCCTATGATCACTCGTATGTAATTTTATGAACTCATCGTCAAACATTTTTGGTCTTCTCAGTGAATATTAACTTAGATAAAGTACATGTTAACCATAACAATATTGTTCCATCACAGAGGTACGCGGTATTTTAACATGTTTCCTATTGCTGTGCATGTGTACTCTTTACACGTGATGCACTTCTCTTGGTGCAGAGTTCACATTCCAATCATACCAGTTGGAAGTCCAAAAGAATGTTCATATCTAGCTTCGATGTCCCATTTAAGAATGTGCCGCTGACCGCTCTCAAGATTAGTCTGCAGGCTCGCTTTTGCTCGCCTGCAATAAACAAGCAGTAATCACCAGATTAGGGAAGTGCATTTGGCTCTCTGAATGACAATTAAATGGCCAGTATGCTGACTATACTTCAATAGTAAGTAACTGTGTTCAGTTTGTCACAAGCGTGGGACAAAGAAAAAAATATCTTGAGTCCCCTACGGGATTTGAACCCATGACCTTCCATACACCGATCAAATGCTCTAACCACTGAGCTACCGAGAGACTCATGTGGTAAGAGGTAATATACTAGTTTCATATGTGACACACATCCTACATGCTGCTACATGTAGTATCAGCAATGTCGAAAGCGCCATGTGTAGTAATAAAATTTATTAATGTAAAGATGGTAAATGTTAAGCTCAGTCATACTGTAGTAAGTACATGTAACTGTATTCAGTTTGTCGCAAGCGTGGGACAAAGAAAAAAAATGAGTCCCCGATGGGATTCAAACCATACACCAGTTGGATGCTTTAACCACAGCTACTGAGAGACTCATGTGGTCTCTCTCTCTCTCTCTCTCTCCCTCTCTCTGGGTACTGGTACATATACATGTACAAGTGACTTGGTCACATCAGTGCTGCGACAGTCACTTTCCACTCCTCCCTCTCCTTTGCAGCTACCACAGCATCCTGCATAATCAGCCCTAGCAGTAAAGGTCGCTGCTGCAGGTTTCCCTCCATCTTTGCCTCTGACCTCCCTGCCTTCTCTTGCCTCCAGTGATTGTGGGATTCCATTGGTACAGTCATTGTGGAAGTGGCTGATGACCCATTCGCATTAGATGACCAAACCACTGCAGGCAATTCTTCCTCAATAATGTAGATGCATAGGGTTGGTTTGTCATTTCCCTTAAATGCAGTTGTTAAGAACCTTCTGCCACCACCTGATATTACAGGCATCTCGTGTCAAATCCATCCAAAACGCTGCTCTTGGCGTTTTGTTGTTGTCCACGACTCACCGCCATATAACAGGATTGATACATGTATGACTACTACACTGTATATTTGCATCTTTGTTGCAAGACTGATCCTAGCTTTACAGGTCTTACCCAGCATTCTAAATGCGCTTAAGGCCTTTCCAATTCTGATTTTTAATTCATGGTCGACTGAGTTGAAAGGAGTCACATTGGATCCAAGGTACATCTGTAGCAAAAGGAGTGAACAGCTTCTATGGGGCCTTCCCTATCAGTGACATTTTCTGGGTGTTACATATGGGCATCACTTTCGTCTTTTCCTTGGAACAATGAGGCCTATCTCCTCACCTGCACTTCACAATCTAGCAAGGGTAGCTGAAGCCTCCATTTCACTTGATGTTAGCAGGGCCACATCATCAGCAAAGTCTAAGTTGGATAGTTTCCATGCTTCTTCAATCCACATTAGTGTTCTAACTCTCCATTGAAGCAACATTCCATAGCGTTCACATGCCTTGCGTAGTACCCGGTTGATGAGGACTCTGAACAGCAATAGGTAAGGGACCATACAGAGCTCTGTCTAATGCCTGTTTCCTTGCAGAACCAGTCTGTAATCTCAGTCCCGACTCTGACCCTTGCCATGGATCCCACATACATTGTAGGTGTTCTTTATCAGCTGGATGATCTTATCTGGGATGCAGTATTCCCTCAGGATGTTCCACAAGCTTGGTCTGTGGATGCTGTCAAAGACGGCTTTGAAGTCCACAAATTTAGGTGACCAGGATCTTAAGAGTGAAAAACTGGTCCACAGATCCCCTTCCACTTCTGAAGTCAGCTTGGTTCTCTTGTAGCCTTACATCCACACTTTTCTGCATCCTTTGGAGGATGATCCAGGCAAAAGCCTTTCCTGCTACAGACAGTAGTGAGATGCCTCTATAGTTCTTACACTCCTTCCTGTCTCCCTTCTTGAAGAGCACAACAAGTTCACTTCTCTTCTAGTCATCGGGTATTACCTCCTCATTCCAGATCCTCACCATCAGCGAGTGCAACCTGTGCACAAGGGTGGGACCACCAGCTTTCAATAATCCTGCACTGATGTTGTCTATGGCTGCAGCCTTATTGTTCTTCAATCAGTTGACGGCCTTTGTTACCTCTATTATTGTTGGTAAACTTAGGTCTATATCTAGGACTTTCCCGAGCTGGCGATTTGGGAGGAATCTTCTGGTGGGGTTGCGTGTTTAGCAATTCTTGGAAGTGCTCTCTCCATCTGTCTTTAGCCTTGTCTACATGTACATCAGTGATGGTATTTCCTTCCTTGTCTTTCATGGACATGGGTTGTGGCAGGGATTTCCCAGCCATTTTCTTTGTGAGTTGGAACACCCGTCGTTGGTTGTTCATTTTGGATGCATCTTCAAGCTCATTCACACAGTTGTCATACCATATTTGCTTGTCATTCCTAGCACTTCTCTGTACTTGAGCATCTATCTGTCTGTATTCTTCTGTACTGTGTCTTGTGCCAGTGGAGTCCCTCCTTAATTTTGCCACTCTCCTTCTTTCAAGAAGTGCCTCAGTTTCACTGCTTATCCATTCTTTCCTGGATGTTTTCCTTCCAATTGTAGTTGATGCAGCCTGGAGGATACTATCTCTGATGTTCTGCTACTCTTCCTCCACTGATATACTTGAAATATACTGGCACAGTCTGCCGAGAGACAATTGATGACTTCCTGTTTGTAACTCTTTAATGTCTCTTTTTCTTCTAGTCTCTTGATGGCAAACCTTCTGCTTTGCTACTTTGCTTTAGGGCAAGACAGCTTCAGCAAGATGACTGCAATGACCAGTTCATGGTCGCTGAAGATGTCCGCACCCCTGTTTATATGACAGTCGCACATGGATATTTTCCATCTCCTGTTGATGATTATGTGGTCTAGCTGGGCTCTTATCCGTGATATTTTATTGCTAGTCCAGGTGTATTTGTGGATGGTCTTATGCTGGAATAGTGTGCCTCCTATCGGCTATGACAAGGCCATGGGTGGAACATATGTACAGCAGTCTCTGACCATTTTATTTACTTCACCCAACCCATGTGGGCCAATAACTCTTGGGTAAGCTGATGTATCTTTGCCCACTCTCGCATTGAAGTCACCCATTAACAGGCACATACAGTGTATCATGGTGTTGGACTTGGTTTAGGATGATGTCAAGAAGGCTATAAATGTATTCCTTTTCAGATATGGGTGTGACTTTAGTTGGCACATAGCCCACTACGATGGACAAGTTTACTGACTCAGTCTTGAATCTCGCTCTCATGAGATGCTCATTAATGCAGTCAAGTGCACCTGATGCCTGGTCTGACAGGAGAAGTCCAACTCCTGCTTCATGCTGTTGGTCCTCGCGTCCTGAATAGATGAATGTTCACGTACCATGGTTGATCTTATCCTTCCCACTCCAGCATACCTCCTGTACTCCAACTATGTCCAGGTTGTATCGAGCCACATTGTCACACTGTTCTTTCAACTTTCCAACCTGCACCAGTGTTCAGATGTTCCATGAACCAACTCTTAGATTTTGGTAACTTTCGCAGTTTCTGTAGCATTGACATATTCGACTGAACAGGTTGCTAACCCATCACAGTCTAGATCAGTTGTCGACGACTATGTGTCTGATCTCCCAGAGTTTGTTTCCAGAGCCTCCTTCTTCCAGATCAGCAGCCTTCCAGGGCTAAAGAACCTGATCTTTCTTGGTTATGAGGTTGGCTTTTTCTTTCAGGGACTCCTCCCATAGCCCATGGGTCAAAACCCTTTCCTGTGCAGGGCCCTAAACAGCTACTAGGAGCCAGCAGCTACCTGGGCAGGGGAGGATCCTGCATCTTTACATTATTTTATTACTACACATCATGCTTTCAACATTACTGATCGGCCTAGCAGTATGCAGGATGTGTGTGACATATGAACCTACAGCGTAGTATATGACCGCTCACCACATGAGTCTCTCCGTAGCTTAGTGGTTAGAACATCTGACCGGTGTACGGAAGGTCATGGGTTTGAATCCTGTCGGGGACTCCGATTTTTTATCTTTGTACCACGCTTGTGACAAACTGAATACAGTATGACCGAGCTTAACATTTACCATCTTTACATTTATTACTACTTCAATTATATTTTCAAAACAGTTCCAGATATTTGACAGTGTACTACATGTACAAGCACCACTACACATTCAGTTGTTAAGTATGGATTGTTTAGCACAATGACTAATACATAGATACATACTCAGTAGAGGCATAAGCAATGAGACAATATAATATGAACAAAAAGAAAAACAAAACAAACGAAACATTTTTCCTTCAACTTTGGCATTAATTTATCAGCAAAGTTTTCAAAGAGCCATTATAATAAAAACTTTCGGCTTGATCCATATAAACTTGCAAAAAAAGAACTCGACCAATATTTCCCCAATACGGACCAAACAAGCTAGTTCAATAACATCTATATAGTTTTTCTAAAACCCAATTCCAGACCAGACATATGGTCATAATCTACATTGTACACCCCCCCCCCCCCCCCCCCCCCCAGAGTCCCAACTTTACCTCTTAGGAAGTGAAACGAGCGAGCGGAAAAGTGTATTTTACATTTGAAAATTTAATTTTAGAAAACTGACCTCTAAGCCGAGTAAAGGTCTGTTTTCTAGTTCTTTTCTCTTTTCCTCTAGCTTTCTCTCCCCTCCATCTGAGAGGGTGAACCTCATAGCAGGTTATCTGAGGTTTGACCCCAAAAATTCCATATTGATGACATAACTCTACACCTGAAGAGATCCGTGTAGGGTTGTTACTTGCACGCTTTACAGTATCACCCCGTGATATGCTCCTGGCGCATCATTCATTTGGTGCACGCATGAGTAATCTCACGTGCAGAGATTTATAATACGCGTTTTCCTGATAAAGACACATTTCACAAAACTGCTCATCAAGTACTAATGATTTATCGTTTAAACGAGTTCCTGTGCTCAATTTGTGATATGTGGATAAATAAAGTTACCACTATATCATCGGATGGGTTTTTGTCAGTGCTTTATTACAGCAAAACTTAGTAAGATCACTCTTAAATTTAGTCACGAGGCTTAGAAACAACCACAAGAAATTTCCATTTCCTATGCAAGCCTTAGTTTACCGGCTCAGGAACTTCACACATCGTTAAAATTGAAGCTGTCCTGCACGCTATAACTGCTTTCACTGCCGTGTTAAGCCGAGAATTTTAACTTAGAATCAGTTTCGGACTTACGTACAACAATATTTCGTTGGTGACTCCTTTATTTCAGTAAGTTCAAATTAGCCACTGTATGTGATGTTTATTCATTCATTTTACCGATTTTTATTTGGGCGATAGTGGTTTCACAATTTTATTTTGCAACAGCCGAAGAGACCAGGATTTCGCTACCGCTTCGAAACCTGCAACACAACGCGGTTATGATAAGTATAGCTACGAAATCTTGGAATAAGAAGCTAGTAAGGGCATAATTGTTGGAATTTAACAGTTTCTGCAATTAAAATAAAAATATAAAAATAAATGGAACAACAACAACAACAAGCTTTATTTTACCCCAGAGCCTACAATAAGTATTTTTACAATTTTGAATAGAAAAATAACAATAGGGGTACTGGCTACCCGAAATAACCTTAAAGTTAAAAATGCCAGGCAGCCAGTTAATAGAAAATATATTTTACATGTTCAGGTCGGGCACACAAACAAACAAAGACACACACGCAAAAAATAAGAGTAAACAGAGTTAAGCAAACTACCAGTAGACTAATACAATAAATGATTGGTAAGAATAAATAATTATTGTATTGCAAAACAGCATTTAATTTTTAATAATGTACAGAAAACTAATAATCTTTTGAAATTTTAGTGGAAATCCACAGAGTGGCTCTTCTCTTCCACTGTTTCCAGATCGAATTGGAATTTAGAAATGTTGGTTTTTGTGAAAAACTATTGGAGCAAGGATGAAAACTAACAACAAACTCAGCCCACATAATGACTCACGCCGGGTCCGATTCGAACCCAGGCCACATTGGTGGTAGGCGAGTGCTCTCACCATTGCCGCCATCCTTGCTCCCCATTAATTAATTAATTTCAGCCTGAGGAACTGACGAATCTTGGCTCGCGCTCTATATGTACGAATGCCAAACTGCTGTCTCGCTATATTTAACCAGTATGTAGTAGTTTCATGTTATGCATGTGTTTGATCTGAAGCCGCAAGAGCGTTATATAACTGTTATTATGAGGCATACAGTATATATATACATCAAAGATGAATGATGCTTAATCGATTCAAAACAATATTGTCATCTTCATTTATCCCTCGCCCTTCCTTCTGCGCCTGAAAAATGAGTGTTACGTAACGTGTATAAATCCCTGCCCGTGTGATTCGTGCGCGAGTATCAGTGGTGAAACGTGTTTCAGTGGTATGTCTGTCTTTTTACCTCCTTTAATAACAAATACAATAATTTTCAGACATACTTAGAAATTAAATTGTCATCTTCAGTTTTAAAGTCGAAAAATTTGCCATTCTGAACTCTATTTTTGAGGGAAGACAAATAAATTATAACTAATTAAACGGATGTAGCAGTATCGCAATTATCAAACGGATGAATGGCGCCGGTGTGAAGGGATCTGATAGATTTTTCTTTTTTCGTAACGTGTACAATGGTTACACCCGCACGTGATATGGTGTGTTCGCGCGCGAAACTCATTTTTACACAAACCACTGCGTCACTATTCCCTAACTCAGTTCTTCTTCCCGATTTTTTTGAGGGGAGGAGGCGGATGTACACAGGCTATAAACTTATTTGCTTAGTTCGTTGAGCAATCAACGGACTGGCTTTTTCGCTTGAAAGGTTTTTTTTAATCAATTTGTTCGTACGGTGATCATGAACTCTAGCTAGGTGCCATTTTCGTGTATTGTTTGGACAATATCTTCGCTTCTTAGACTGCAAAACAGTCGTATTTTTTGCGTTGGTCTGTCAAACAAATGCGCGCGGTCTTTGAACGAAAGGTCTGGAGCGAGTGTGAAAACTATTCGCTTCTATACAATATATTTACTCTCACATTTGTATGATTTTGGAGAGTGAAAAAATCAATTTTATTTTTATTTGACTAGATTGAAGTTAAGTATTTTTCCTAACATTTACAGAAATTGTTTTTTAAAAATCTTGAAAAGCGCGCGAGTTATTTCGGAAAAGGTATTTTCAAATAAAAATTAATAATTCACAAAGGTGTCATAATCTCTCAAATGCGTGGACTCCCTGGGTAATTTTCGCGGCAAAGGGCTTCACGCCGGAACTCGTATTTCACTCGCATTTTGAATTTTCACGTGGAATTAGTTGTCCCGCGCCTGGAATGTTTACATGCGATGAAAAAGTCTAAAAACGAAAGAAGTCCTTGGTAAAAGTCAAGAAAAAAACAGGACCGAAGAAGAAAGATGAAAAAGCTTTCGCTGAAGAAAGTAAACAAGAGCTAGCGGAAAGCGACAAAGGATCTTGGTTCGGCCAAGATACTTCAAGCTGTCCAAGCTTGACATCGAATGAAAAATTATCGGAGCGGCCTTCAGGAGCGAGTAGCTTAAAAATAAAAGCTATCGAAAGCACAAGTTCCAAAGAGTATCGGACTCGGACATAAGCTTATCCGATGAAGAAGAAGAATCAGAAGCGAGCGAAGCCACCAAATACTGGAGCATTGTTGACATTAACTTCGGCAGATTCGCCGGTCGATTCGTCTTTCTTCTGACTGTTCTTGCCGCGTTTTTCCCCAGTGTTTTTTACCTTCCCCATTTCGCAGATCGATCTTTCACTTGAACGTGCCGCAGCGAGAAAGCAAACGTGACGGCATTGCGATACTTTTCCCGGGAAATTCTGTTCCATTGTAGTTGACGCCACGGGATCCTGTTTCTTGATTGGCTCGCGGTGTCATGAGGCGATATAATCTCCTGTGGAGACGTGGTTTGTTTACGAATCTTTATGAGCTGAAATCTCGCATTTGATTTTGGGAAGAATATATCGACTTTGACCGAATTTATAGGGTATGTAGATTTAACGGATTTTCGTCAAATTTGGCCAAAACATTACACGGGTAATGACGAACAAAACCGTGTCAGGAAATTTTAATATTTGAAATATTTTTCCCGTGGCGACCATTTACGCAACACATCTCGTATATTTTTAGCCACTCCAACTTTGGACAAGGATATCTAAATAACCAATCAGAATTTCTAAAAAGCCTGACACGGTTTTGTTGATTGATGCCTTGTGAATAACACTGTACAGGTATTTCGCTAATGCGGCGGCATGCGATACCCGATAAATTCAATCGCACAACACTCGGACGTTTGGGGTTCTACCGGCTCCTGACACTTCGTAAAGAAAAAGTCGCTTAAATTATATTTTTATCGAAAACTACAGTTATTAAGCTTTCTATTGACATATAGTTTGGTAACGTTCTCTTGAAACTGGCGCGTGTACGAATTTTTTTCCGAAGGACACCCGCGAAGGGTGGAAGTATCCTTAAAATAATTCGAAACAGACTCTTGGAAAGGAAATCCAGAGGTTTACCCTGTGTTGAGGATCCCCTAACATAAAAATGGTAAAAAGGATGTAATATTACGCAATGACAAAGCAGCTGAAAAAGAAGATTAAACGTGAACAATAAGAACATTTATGCAGGAATAATAACGCATGGATTTATGTATGGTATAAACTACCTAATCAATGGTCATGTGGAGTTTTAAAAACGATTTAAATTTCTTAAGGCTACCAGCTTCAGCGACATGTTTTGGTAGATCGTTCCATGGCTTGATAATCCTTACGAAGAAAGAATACTTTAAACAGTTTATTTTAGCAGATTTTGCGTGTAGTTTATACTTGTGATTCGACCTGGCCATGTGTCTGCTCTGTCCAAAATAATCCCTAAATTTTAAACCATTTTGTTCAAAAACTGTTTAATAGTATTCCACTAAAGATTCAGCTGTTACAACAAAAAACAATTCAGTCTAACATTACACGTATTTT